GGACCTCGACGTTCATCAGACTGACTGTGTATCAAGTAGGTAGGTACCCTACGGAGCGGACGGGTTCGCAGAGCTTTCAATCAATTCCAACCTCATTTACGGGGAAAATTCATATGCGTACACACTCGTATGCATGCATTTATTCATACATCTATTCATGTAAGATGGGCGACAATAGCTACAATATATCGCTGTGTTCCTATGCTCAGGTATTGCGCTGCCCTGTGCTGCCCTGCTCGGACGGATGAAATACATGCCCGGTTATTCCTGTCCCGATACCACCCTGGCATGTTTGCATATTTGCATGTTGCTTGCTTGCTTGCTTACTTGCTTCCGCACTATGCATCCTACCCCGGGGATCATCATGGATCATCAATCCACTATGTCTTGTGGAAGGAAAGGGGTCGGGACGTGTCACCCCTCCACGTAGCTGTGCCTCAACTCCTTCCATCTGGACTCTCTATCCGCTCTTCCTCGCGGCGACAAGAGTCCGATTTGATCAACCAAGACGCCGTCCACTTGATCTCCTCTTGTCTGATCGTCTTCTCAAACACATGCACCGCTGCTGGTCGCCTCGTCCGGGCAGGGCAGGGCAGGGCAGGAAGCGCGTCGCGCTTCGCCTCTGACTCTGGCTCTGGCTCTGGCCCAGCTGCATGACAACCAAATTTGGGCCGGCATGGCAACAGGTAATCATCTTTTCTCTATCGTGGTGTTGTCGTCTTGAAATTTGTTGTTTCCTCTGCTTCTCTGCCCGGCCTGGTTCAGGCGCTGCAAGCATTACATTGTCATCTCCGTCGTCGTCTGTTGTTGCCCTATCGCCCGTTGATGATTCGCGTCTACGTATGTCTTTTTCTATTTTTAATATTGGCCATCCCTGCGCATAAGATGCAAATCTCTCGCCTGTGGTCGCTGCGCTGCTTGGGTCCGAAGCGGTCCCAGACGTTCCCTGTCGCTGTCGCTTGTCACTGTCGCCAGTGGCTACAGCGAGTACAGCTACTCCGTACAGCCCTGAATCATGCGTGCTCTGGGCTTTCCGAGACTTTCTTCCTTTCACTGACGGTACCCTTTCTTTCTACTTGAGGTTTTCATCCTAGCCAGCTATCTATTCTATCCACCTACTCTTTCTACCTACTCTTTCTACCTGCTCTTCCCACCTCCTCCCCCTCCTCCTTTTCCCTCTTCATCTCTATAACAACCCTCTCCCACAGCCGCAAACTACGCCCCTTCCCCCTTCCCCCTTCCCCCCATGGCGGTATCTAACCCCCTGCCTTGCCCTGCCCTTCCTCCCTGCTGTTCCTGCCCATTGCCGGATAATGCCTGTCTTCCATTCAGGAGGGGCTTTCCACTGCCGCCCCCCGGCCTTGGGCCAATGCTTTTAACCTTCCAACCTTCCATGAAAGCTTCCATCCCGCCGCCTAGAGTAGCAGAAGGAGAAAGAGAAGAAGGAAAAAACCCATGTCCTACCCCCTCCATCTCACCACCCTTGTTGCCGCTCCGTAACTTTCCTCGTTGTCCCCGCTTGTCAAGACTCTTCCTGCATCCTGCCGGCTTGGGATTTCCTCTGCTTGGATTCCCAATCTGGTCTGAGATGAGATGAGAGATGAGTGATGACTTAGAGCATAATCCGTCCGATGTCAACCGTCCTTTAAATTTTCCTGCTTACATGCTCCATCTCGTTCATGGCGAATCACTGGCGTGTCTTGAGCATCTCTCCAGACCATCCCGCGCGTTTAATTACTACCCTATCTACGACTTTCTGCTCAACACCAGGATACCGCAAGATCAGCCGGCAGATATAATGCAAAGGCGTGCCCTTTTCTCCGATTCTCTACGGCATCTCGACACGCTCATTCCCGGCTCACAGCCTATCTTCCGTTCACGTACTGAACGGCCAGTGTTCCTCACTACAACAGGAAAATATTGAACCCTTTCTTTTGTTTTGTTTTTTGACTCGGATCGGTCCTACGCCCTCCTCGGCTTTGTGATCAGGCAAGACCTATAACACCGCGGCGTATACCCAACAAAACGGTCACCATCTCGCCAACGACACAAGTACCAACAAGCAACGCAGCAAGCAATCAACAGCAAACCTTACTTGGCGCGACCACATAGCGGTGATCCAGCAGGTAGTACTACCGCCCCCAGCGATCTGCGAGAGCAGTTCGCTGTGGCAGATCCCATGCATGTCTGGCTATCGGCCAGGCCACGAACAAGGCCACGATCCTTATATCGGCTATGCTGCTGCACATCCAGAAGCTCATCCCGAAGAACGCGGTTATGCCTCCCATGTACAAGAGCTCCAGCACGTGGGCGCCCAGGGCCTCGCGCCCCTACACGAGCAGCATCTTGCGGCGCAGCAGCATCATCACCACCACCAGCACCAGCAACAGCAGCAGCAGCAGCAACATGCGCAACAACATCATCAGCAACAGCACTCGGCATACACCGAGCATCCCATGGCCCACCACCAGTCTCCTCCGTTCGGTGGTGGGCAGGGGATGGCGTACGGGCCCCCGCGGCGACAGCAACCAGCTGGGACGAAGAGGGCGCGTCCCGATGATCTGGAAGCCGAGATGGAAGGACTCACCGGGCAGCAAATGCAGATGGTAGGAATGCAAGGCATGTCTTCGCAAATGCCTCCGCAGTCCATGGTGGGAGGAGATGGCTACGATGCGCAACCGATGCAATACCACAGCCATGCCCTGCCGAACCAAGGGCACCGCTCCAAGATGCCGCGGATGAGCGACAATGATTCCGTGACTGGGCCGAGCGTGGTCGGGCAGGAGGGGATGCCACAACCTGCGCCTCGGCCTCGCGGACCGAAATTAAAGTTTACTCCCGAGGACGATAGTTTGCTAGTGGATCTGAAGGAGAACAAGTCGTTGACCTGGAAACAAATTGCCGAGTTCTTTCCCGGGCGATCCTCAGGCACCTTGCAGGTGCGGTACTGCACCAAGCTGAAGGCTAAAACAACACAGTGGACTGAGGAAACGGTACGTGCCAATCTGACTTTTGATTTCCCTAAGTATGCGCAAGCAGGATCTTGAGCTGATTCTGGGACTGCAGGTTCAGAAACTCCGGACGGCACTGCACGACTACGAGCAGGAGAAGTGGCGCATTGTGGCACAAAAGGTCGGCACGGGCTTCACGTCGGCGGCGTGCAAGGAGAAGGCTAGTGAATTATAACATGAAGCGTCCCCGGCAGAGGCTGAGCCCGCTTCTGATCTTGGGGACACGGAATATTGAAAGCTCGCCCTGAGCTGATGACACCTCTCTCGCTGATGGATGTCTAATCTACTGCCGTTCTCACGGACGGCACTCTTCAAACTCGACTACGCCATACCTTTCTTGAAAAAGAACCTCCCCCTGCGAAAATCCGGCTGAGGTCCACTCGCCAATTTAATCTTGTACAGACGACTGATACATGTGCATATATACACTCAACTTCTTTTTACGTATATACGACGCGTACTCACTCACCTGCGCGACTGGGGCGCGCACCATCTCCCTATCGAACGAACGCGGAGTATACCCATGTACCTTGACTGATTGTTTGCTTATCCCCTGACCTCTATACAATTTGTGTCATTTTACATATCTTCCTCGACTTCTCATACGTCATGTCATTCTCATACCTCATGTCATTCTCATTATTCTTATATATACACACACTTGTCGGACGTGGTACCGATTCGATCGATATACCTGTTTCTTCCCTCCTCCGCCGGCGGGAATTTGGATGTCTTTAGCCTGCCGGGGGTAAAACGTGTGGCTGGCTGTGTTGTTGTGGTGGAAAAGAAAAGAAAGGAAAAGGGGAGGATTGGTGTGTGGGTGGGTGCGCGGTTGGAAGCATGCTTTGCTATGGTGGGGTAATTGAGGTTTTTGGTGTCGGCTGGCTGCTTAAGGTTGGGAGGAGGACGGAGACAGCACTTTGTCATTACGGAATGCTGTTACTGGGCGCTATATACCCGGCGGAACTTGATGAGGAGGAGGGGACGGATAGAAGGGGGGGAGGGGGTAATGGAGGGGGGGGGGCTGGTGTTTTCCGTTACAGTTTCTTTGTTTGGTTATGGTGTTCTGGAGCGCGTGGGCAGAGGGTAGGATAGGATAGGATAGGATGGGATGGGATGGGATAGGGGAGATGGAAGTAAATGGGACGGAATGGAATTAAATGGGATGGAATTAAAATGGGATGGTAGATGGGGAAGGGTAGAA